AACTCTCAACAAAGTGGGAATAAAAGAAACATTTCTTAACACAATAAAGGCCATATATGACAAGCCCACAGTTAACATCATCCTCAATGATGAAAGATTGAAAGTCTTTCCTCTAAGATCAGGAAGAATACAGGGTGTCCACTATCACCATTCCTATTCAACACAGTAATGGAAGTCCTCGTCTGAGCTATTAGGCAAGAAAAAGAAATAAAAGGCATCCAAATTAAAAAGAAAAAAGTAACACTGTCTCTATTTGCAGATGATATGATCTTATATATAGAAAATCCTAAAGTATCTATCAAAAGTTGTTAGAACTAATAAAGAAATTCAGTAAAGCTGAAAGATATAGAATCAACACACAAAAAAATCAATTGAGTTTCTATACACTAACAGTGAACTGCCTGAAAAAGAAATAAACAATCCCATTTATAATAGCATCAAAAACAATAAAATGTTAAGAATAAATTTAATCAAGAAAGTGAAAGAACTATACACCAAAAATTATAAGACTTTGATGAAAGTAATTAAAGACACAAATAAATAGATATCCTGTGTTCATGAATTGGAAGAGTTAACATTGTTAAAATGTCTATACTACCCAAAGCCATCAATAGATTCAACACAATCCCTATCAAAATTCCATTGACATTTTTCAGAGAAATAGAAAAAAATCCTAAAATTTGTATAGAACCACAAAAGACCCTGAATAGCCAAAGTAATCTTGAGAAAGAACAAAGAACAAAGTAATCTTGAGAAAGAACATCACAGTTCCTTATTTTAAACTACACTACAAAACTATAGCAATCAAAACAGTATGGTATTTGCATTAAAACAGACACATAAACCAATGGAAAAGAATAGACAGCCAAGAAATAAACCAACGCATATACAGTCAACTAATATTTCACAACGGGCAAAGGGTAGACTCTTCAGTAAACAGTGCTGGGAAACTGGATATCCACCTGCCAAAAAACAAAACTGAAACCCAAGCTTACATTACTCACAAAAAGTAACTTGAAATGGATTAAGGACTTAAACATAAGACCTGAAACCATAAAACTCCTTGAAGAACACTAGGACCATAGCTCCTTTACATCGGTCTTGGCAATTATCATTTGGATATGACACCAAAAGCACACGCAACAAAAGCAAAAATCAACAAATGGGACTACATCAAACAAAAAGCTCTTGTAGAGCAAAGGAACCAACCAACAAAATGAAAAGTCAACCTATCGAATGGCAGAAAATATTTGCAAACCATATATCTAATGAGTAGTTTATTTCCAAATTATAAAAGCAACTCATAATAGGAAAGAAACAAACAATCTGATTAAAACATAGGCAGAGCACTTGAAGAGATATTTTTCCAAAGACATACAAATGGCTAATGACAAGTTAATGAAAAGGTGCTCAACATCACTAGTCGTCAGGAAAATGCTAGTCAAAACCTCAATGAGATACTACCTCACACCTGTTAGAATAGCTATCATCAAAAAGACAAGAGATAACAAATGCTGGCAAGAATACAGAGGAAAGAGAACTCTGGTGCACTATTCGTGGGAAAGCAAATCGGTACAGCCACTACGGCAAACACTATGGGGATTCCTCAAAAAATTAAAAATAGAACTACCATATGATCCAGCAGTCCCACTTCTGGCTATATATCCAAAGGACATGAATCATTGTCTTGAAGAAATATATGCACTCCCATGTTCATTGCAGCATTGTTCACAACAGCCAGGAAATGGAAACAACCTAAGTGTATTGACAGATGAATGGACAAGAAACGGGATATATAGGTATAGACACAGATATATAGATATTGAGACATATATTAATATTATTCAATCACAAAAGAGAAGAAAATCCTGCCATTTGTGAAAACATGAATGGATTTTGAGGACCTTATGCTAAGTTAAGTCAGTCAGAGAAAGTCGAATATTGTATGATCTCATTTATATGTGGAATCAAAAAAAGAGCCAAACTCATAGAAAGAGAGAGTAGAATGGTGATTGCTAGGGCTGAGAGGTAGGGGAAATGAGGAGATGCTGGTCAAAGTATACAAACTTCGAGGTATAAGATGAATAAGTTCTGAGGATCTAATATACAGCATAGTGACAATTATTAACAATACTGTATTATATAGTTGAAAGTTGCTAAAAGATTAGATCTTAAACGTTATCACAACAAAAAAAATTGTAATTATACGAAGTCATGGATGTGTTAACTAACCTTATTGTGATAATCATTTTGTAATATATATGCTTATCAAATCATCGCATTGCATACCTAAACTTACACAATGTTATATGTCAATTATATCTCAATGAATCTGAGGCATAAAAAGTATAAAATCAGAAGCTGAAAATACTTCCCCTCTCCCCTCAAAATAGAAAGACTAACCTCATTGGAATGTAAACTCTAAGCAGGCACACCGATTTTTACCTTTTTGATTGCTGTAATATCTCCAGCATCTAGACTAGCATCTGGCACACATTAAATACTTAAATGTGTGTGTATGTACATTTAATGAATCTCTCCTGTGAAAAGGATTTATAATTTCTAAAAAAGAAATATTTAAGCAACATAAATTAACTTTAAATCCAATATGAAAAATTGTATTATGAATCCAGTAGATGCCAAACAGAAACGTAGTAGCACTTAACAGTTTTTAGCTTTTAAATCATTTTTAATAAAGTTCATAGTAAAATTAGAAATAGATTACTTCTCAGCACTCTAAAGGATACATATTTAAAAATCAATAACTACATCATATATAACATTAAGGGGGAACCTTCCTCCATGCCAGCTCTCATGCTCCCTTTCACTGCATACCAGGGAATAGAGGGCAACTCTGGTGACTTTGAAAGGAGCTAGGTATTTCAACTTAGGCTCTTCCTAGCCCCAGTGGGGCCACCTTTACAGAAGGTCTTTTCTCTGTGCTCTCTGTCACTGGTAAGGGACAGTCTCCATAAGGGAGCCTGGCATTGCCCAACACTGCCTATGCTTGGGTAGGTAATTTTGTCTCATTCTGGGGAGAGTTTGCAAGTCCTTTGAGCTGAGATATCCCCCAAATCTCCACTTGACTCCATCAGTAATAAAGCCAAGATTTTGATTTCCATTTTCTGTGTTTTGTATCTCATTTCTTAATTGATTCTGTGCTTAGGAGGAGAAGAAAGTGATATTATTTATCAACTCCTCTTCAAATACACAACTCTTAATACACAACAAAGAAATTCCATTAAAATTAATTACAAATTGAGAATACCCCCACTATATCACCTCCTTAAGGATATTTTCCAGCGGAAAGGTGTTTGAAATCAAAATAACAGATGTAACTATTGGGAAGTAGTAGATAAATTTATTATATTTGTAAAACCTGAAAAAGCTCTTTAAATTAGAGTGCAGTAGAGTGGTAAGATTACAGATAAATACATATCCAGACCAGTGCCTGACATATAGTAGGCACTTAATAAATATGGAATAAATTACATAAGAACTATAAATTTCTATATATTTCTATATAGATGTCATATTTATAATGGAAAAGGGTGTATTTACAATAGCAACCAAAAGCCTCAGAATAACACTAACAAGACAATGTACTACCTATGTGAAGGGAGAAAAATTTTAAATAATATATACTTTATATCTATATGCCTATATTCATTTATAGATATATATAAAGTCATGAATGAACAGATATAGGACAAATTCCTAAAGGAAAAGCCTGAATACTGGAAGACATCAATTTCTTCCAAGTTAATATATAGATTTAACGTAATTTTAACAAAATTTCCTTAAGGATTTCTTGTGGAATGATGAAATAATTTAAAGTCAATTTTTTAAAAAAATAAATATTATTTCTCTGATAAATATTTGGTGCTGTGGTGTAACTTTAAAATCCCGTCACTGTCTGAAATTTCAAAGCTCCCCACTGCCCCCGCTCAGGTGCGGCTGCTAGAAACTACGACTTGGAAGGAACAGGGGCATGGCCTGCTTTCTCTCTTCTGGCTTTCCTGTCTCTTTCACCTTCGTCCACCAGGTAAGGTTAGTAGGTGATTCACTGCTCACGTGAGTCACCATGGAGGCAAAACTGCAAGCCCTCCTCTGTTAGTCATTGTCATTTCTCCATCCAACAATGCATAAATTAAAATAGTGGCTCATGTGTGTGTCACACTAGATTAGCATTCTTGTAATACCATAAACAGCCTCCTGATATTGGGGAATCCTATCAAGACAAGGCCTTTTTGCACTGGGCAGTCATTTACAGTGGCCAGATGGTACCTACTTACATGTTCTATCTGTGCGTGGTCTAAGATCACTGGAAACTCAGGAATCCAGGCCTCAGATTCAATAGAAATTAGGGGCTCCAGTCAATCTCGGACCCTCCTGCTTTGCTTGCCTTCCTGTAGTCCTTCCCCATGATCTACTGTCTCCAGGTCCACTCTCTTCCCCTGCCATTCAACAAACAGCTAGCCCGGAAGAAGACACCAATGTAACACACAAAATAGCTAGCCATCTTCCACAAATTCAGACAGTAAGGACACAGCAGGTCCAACTGGATTTCGACAGTTTATTAGACACAGCACAGCAGGAGCAGCAGGTTCATATTGGTTCCCCTGACTCCTGAGTCCTATGTAGAGAGGGACTAGATAAATGCTGCATACAAAGTGGCTCTGGGTCATAGCCGAGGAACTGTAAGTTTTGGAAACCTCCAATCTTATTAGGGGCTGCTAGCAAACCTGCCCAATCTTTGCCCACAGGGAGATACTATCTTTATTATCTTAATCAGGAAACAAATGTTTTCTAGGAAGGAGACACTACTATCCTTGAAAGTCTTCAGGGAGGGAGGATGCGCTTTATCTTGGAACATCTTCTTATACAGACATTGTTGAAATGGCTGTAGATAGCTTTGCACAGGAGACCCAGATCATGCAGGAATGCGAGAGGTACAGAGAGAACTTTCTCCCAACAACATGTTCTCTTCAGGTACACACCTCCAAACTTCACGAGTAGTGCCGTTATCTCCCACTCTAGTAGGGAAAAGGGAAAGGACAAAGTGCTAGAGCTCTGTGCTCCCTAAAACCTACTCCAGCCCTAATGCCCTTTATATAAAACTTGTTCAAGTCATGATGTGAATTGTGGATTCCTGGCAGGAAGGGTTTACCTTACCATTTTATATCTTCCTGTTATACACATTCGTTTGTTTGTAATAAGCTCCATTCAAGCAGATTACCAAATGAAATAATACCTTCGTGAGAAATGGAAAGAGTTGTTCCTTCCTCAAAACACTTTACTGGCTTTCTGTTAGAAAATTTTTAATAAACATATAAATTCATAAGAATTACAAATGTGAATTTTATCCCCACTGTTGTATGGTGTACGATGGCTCACTGCTATTTTTAAAAAGCATGGTAAAATAATATAACATAAAATTCACCATTTTAACCACTTTAAAGTGTACAATTCAGTGTTATGTAGTGCACTCATATTGTGCAACCAGTACCACTATCTAGTTCCAGAACATTGTAATCATCCCAAAAGAAAATCTGTACCCATTAAGCAGTCAATCTCCATTCCCTCCTCCTCTCCCCTCCAGCACCGGCTACTCTAATTTCTGTCTCTATGAATTTGCCTATTCTGAATATTTCAGATAAATGAACTCATACAATGTTTGATCTTTTGTGTCTGTCTTCTTTCACTTAGCACAATGTTTTCATGGTCCACCCATGTTGTAGCACATTATTCATTCCTTTTTATGGCTCAATAATATTCCATTGTATGAATACATCACATTTGTTCATACATTCATCAGTTGATGGAAATTTGGGTTGCTTCCATCTTTTGGCTATTGTAAATAGTGCTATGACATCCATGCACAAGCTTTTATTTTCGATTTTTTGGATATGTACCTAGGAGTGTAATTTCTAGGTCACATGGTAAGTCTTTAACTTATTGATGAACTGCCAAATCGTTTTCCAAAGCAGCTGAATCATTTTACACTTCCACCAGCAACGTATGAAGGTTCCAATTCTCCACATTATCACCAACACTTGCTATTTTCTGTTATTTTGATTATTGCCATACTAGTGGGTATGAAGTGGTACCTCATTGTGATTTTGATTTGCACTTTCCTAATACTAATGACATTGAATGCTTTTTCATGTATTTGTTGGCCATTTGTATATCATCTTTGGATAAATGTCTATTTAAGTTCTTTGCCTATTTTTTTTTAAGATTTTATCTTTTTCCCTTTTTCTCCCCAAAGCTCCCCAGTACACAGTTGTACACTCTTAGCTGTGGGTCCTTCTAGTTGAGGCACGTGGCACGCCGCCTCAGCGTGGCCTGACGAGCAGTGCCATGTCCGTGTCCAAGATCCGAACCGACGAAACACTGGGCTGCCTGCAGCAGAGCGCGTGAACTTAACCACTCGCCACAGGGCCGACCCCTGCCTATTTTTTTATTGAGTTGTTTCTCTTTTTGTTGTGGACTTTTAAGAGCTTTCTATGTAATTGAGATTCTAGATCTTTATCAGATATATGATTTATAAATATTTTCTCCCATTTTGTGGGTTACCCTGTCATCTCTTAATAGTATCCTTTGATGCACAAGTTTTTAATTTGATGATGTCCAATTTATCTATGTTTTTCTTTGTTGCCTGTGCTTTTGATGTCATATCTAAGAAATCACTGACTATTTCAAGGATGTGCAAATTTACAACTATGTTTTTTTAAGAGTTTTATAGTTTTAGCTCTGACACTTAGGTCTTTGGTTCATTTTGAGTTAAATTGTGTATATGGTATGAAGTAAGGGTCCAGTTTCATTCTTTTGCATTTGAATATCCAGTTGTCCCAGCACCATTTGTTGAAGAGACTATACTTTCCAAATTGAATGGTCTTGCCACCTTCATCAAAAATCAATTGACCATATATATACAGGTTTATTTCTAGACTCTTGATTCTATTTGCATTGTACATATTTAAAATTTTTTATATATTATGATGATTTGACATCTTAAAAGACCTTTCTTTTAGGTTGGGAGAGAGACTGTTCCTCCTGGGCTAGCCAACTCTTAGAGATAGCAAAAGGCCCTGCCTACAGCATATTTTTGATATGCAAACTAACTGATCCAGAGCCATACCTCCTCTTTCTGGCCCATGCATCCCAGGAGGCAACATTCCTCTGCCTTAATCATCCCAGGGTGAAGTATCAGGAAACTAGAGATCACCACTATGACCCAACCTTGCTGAAGTTACTGAAAGTAGCCAATTCTGTTCACCCTGCCCTGACTTGTCTTTCCTAGGGAAACTCCAATAAGTGCCATAGTCTAAGTGCTCCCTCCCTCCCGTCTTCTGTTGCCTAACCACCCCAGTGTTTTTTCATGTAGTCCTTCATGGCGTGCTGTGCCTCCTGGGTCTAGGACCTGTGAGTATAACGAACGCTGTTTTCCCAAGGCTCTCCTGTGTCTCCTCTGTGGCTGAACCTGACTGACTATCTCATAAAAAAATATAAAACACTATCCCATTGAACTATTTGTCTGTCTTTATGCCAGTACTGTAGTATTTTGATTACTGTAGCTTTGCAGTAATTTGTAAAATTAGGAAATGTGAGTCTTCCAACTTGGTTCTTCTTTTTCACTATTGTTTTGGCTATTTGGGGGTCCCCTGAATTCCATATGAAAATTAGGATTAATTTTTCCATTTTTTCAGAAAAGGCTATGGGATTTTGATGAGGATTGATTTGAATCTAGAGATCACTTTGAGGAGTACTACCATATTAACAATACTAAGTCTTCAATTCCATGAACAGGGGATGTTTTTCCACTTATTCAGGTCTTCTTTAATCTCTTTCAAAAATGTTTTATAGAGGCTGGCCTGGTTGCATGGTAGTTAAGTCTGCATGATCCACTTTGGCAGTCCTGTGTCCACAGGTTCAGATCCTGGGCACAGACCTTACACTGTTCATCAAGCCCCACTGTGCCAGCATCCCACATACAAAATAGAGGAAGATTGGCACAGATGTTAGCTCAGGGACAATCTTCCTCACACACACACACAAAAAATGTTTTATAGTTTTCAGTATAGAAGAATTACACTGAATATTCAGGACTACCCATTGCATCAATGCAGAATGTAGAATTGAATCAGCCATATAAGACAAAAGATGAGGATTCAGATTACAGATAGGAGAGACACTGCCATTTCCATTCCTGGCCATAACTTAGTGTGAAGGTAAGATGGAAGTCATCATAGAGTCCAGAATGAGAAAGTACTAAGAGTAGCTGTCTTACAGAACAGTGTCTAAACTACCATATTAGTGATCTATTGCTGTGTAAAATATTACTCCAAAACTTTAGTAGCTTAAAACATTTACTACCTTACAATTTCTGTAGGTCAGGAATTTGGGAACAACTTATCTAGATGACTCTGGGTCAAGGTCTCTTGTGAGTTTGCGCTCAAGTTGTTGGATGGGGCTGTCATCATCTGAAGTCTTGACTGGGGCTGGAGGATCCTCTCACAAGATGGCTCATTCACATGACTGTCGGTAAGAGGCTTCAGTTCCTTGCCATGCTGGCCTCTCCATAGGGCTGCTTGAATGCCCATATGACATGATGGTTGGCTTCCCCCAGAGTGAGTGATCCAAGAGAGAGTACAAGGAGAAACCTGTCATGTCTTTTATGATCTAGTCCCAAAAGTCACATACAGACACTTCCACCATATTCTATCTGTTAGAAGAAAATCACCTAATCCAGTCCATACTCAAGGAGAGAGGACTAGCCCCCACCTTTTGAAGTGGTCAGTGTCAAGTAATTTGTGGATATATTTTAAAACCTCCACACAGAAGAATTCAGTCACCTCTTCCATATGCTCTAATCTGACACAGCACCAAACAAACACTCCAAACACAAAAAACAAAACCTGGTACAACTATTTACATAGATCATTAGAGACAATACAGAGGACAATAATGACATATTAGAAACTTCTCATGATATGATATATTGTACATTTTTAAATGCATGCTTAATCCTTTTAAGAATATAAGAAATAAATCTGAATTTAGATTATGAAATTTTTCTTCTTGAAAGAAGATTACCATATGTGGGGAAATCTGTGCATCTATATTTTATGGTAAATCTTTTGAAATTTCAGGGGATGAGAAGTTCGTGAAAGTGGTCTCGACACAAAGTAGCCATCAATGGTTTAAGTGTTTTAAAAGTAGTATTAAAAACTGAATTGCTTTGGTTGTCTGGTCCTTCCTTCTAGTTCTAGGATCCCACACTGGAGACAAGAAGACTTGATTGTGATAGTCATTGTCAATGTTGGTACAGGATTATTTTTAAAACCGAAGACCTGGGGCTGGCTCTGTGGCCAAGTGGTTAAGTTCACGCACTCCACTTCAGTGGCCCAGGGTTTTGCTGGTTTGGATCCTGGGCACGGACATGGCACCACGCATCAAGCCACGCTGAGGTGGTGTCCCACATAGCACAACCAGAAGGACCTACAACTAGACTATACAACTATGTACAGGGGGCTTTGGAGAGAAGAAGAAGAAAAAAAAGGAAGATTGACAACAGATGTTAGCTTAGGTGCCAATCTTTAAAAAACAAAAACAAAAACCTAAGCATTTATGATCATAAAACGAAGCTCCTTGTGGTTGGTATTTCAAAGATATTCTCATGCTGTGTATCTGCTTTTAGGTTCAGATTGCCAAAAAATGGTTCAGTAGCACTCAGAGAAGTGAGTGCAGTGTGAGTGCAGAAATAGCTAAATTCACAACCGGTTTGATAACTAAATAGAAAGACTGGTACATGGTGATAAAAACAACATTGTTTTGTGGAGTGAAAATTATAAGCCAATATATCTCAGAGACATGTTCTTAAAATATTTTCCTGAAAAGACGTTCACGGGTCAGTATTGTTCATCACAACACTTTCCAGGCAAGTGAAAACTGATTCATGAGTGTGAATTTATGGGACACTGAGCATAACACCAGGAAATAATGCTGCAAGTAATTATCACACATAAAAGATCTCCTGTTACAAAAATGTCAGTTACATCAAGGAAAATTACTCATATTATCCTGCACCTGCCTTTTTTTAGGACTGCTCATTCTACATTATATATTATAGGACTAGCATATTAAGATGCTAGAAACACTAATGGGTAAAAAGTTTCTCTATTTTCATCATCTACTAGTTAGTTTGCTCTACACAGGGACCCACATGCCTGGCAGTTGGTATTGGCTGCAGGTCGGGAATCCAGCTGGGGCTGTCAGTGCCATTAGTTCTTTCCCTGGGGACCTCACTGCAGGGCTATTTGGGCTTTCTCATAGCATGAGGGCTGGCTTCCAAGAAGGATTAATCCAAGAAGTGAAGGTAGAAGATGCAAATCTGGAAAGTTACAGCATTGCTTTATCTGCATTCTGTCAATCAAAACACATAGAAAGTGCTGACCCAGCAAGGGGTAAGGAAATCAACTCCACTTCTTGATGTGGGAGTGGCAAGTTTATAACTAACTGGTGGGATGAGTATTCGAAGACAGTTGTCCCTCCATCTGTAGTGTTCCTGCATGGTCCAGTCCCTCTAAATGAAGGTGTTTACAAAATATTTGCATGAAGAAACATTCCAGCATAGTAAAGCTTAGAGCTCTCTCTCTCTCTCTCTGGAGATGCCCCAGAGGGTAAAGGCAAAGACCTTTCCTTCTCTTCCCTAGAGAAGATTCACCTAGATTCCGGAATAAAGACAAATTCTGTCTCTCCTCTCTCTCTGGAAGGAAGGATGAGCAACCCTATATAGGATCAGAGTCTCCTAATTTGGGAATTTCTCTCCTTTAATGCACTCAACCACATATGTTGGTACCATCAAGCCCTCATCTCATGATACTGTGGGATTGTGGCTGGAAAACTGACACAAGATGTTGCTCTGGCTGCTGCATTTGCTGTGAGAAATAAATGGTCTTGGTCTTTGACTCAGTGCTCTCACGTTTTTTGCAAATAGGGTAAAACTTAGATCCTTCATAGTTTCTGATTTAACAGTAGGAGATATTTTTCCAATCACACTTGGAAATACAATCTACTATATTCAAGAACGAAAAAGAGCATCAGCAGCAGGGACCCCAAGGAACAGGATATGAAAGGTCATCTTGACTGATCTAAGTGGATAAGTGATCCCAAGGTGAAACAAATGTCTGAGGAATAGACCAATTTTGGAAACAGAAGCTACTACGAAGTATCCTTAAGACTCCCACATATTTTCACAGAGGAGAAAATTGGATTATTTTCTAGGATCTCTAATATGAGGTGGAGGAGGTTACATTTTGAGGAACTGCCATAGGTTAGTATCCCCAGCACATCTGCTGACTATTTGAACAGCACAATTTCTAAACGTACAGCAAAGTTACATTCATAAGATTCAGCAGGCAAATTTTGTTTAAATAGTGAAGGCCTTAATTTCAAGAAGAGTTGGAGGTTTTGGGTTTACAGTCAAAGATCCACCATATCAATTTACTCCTTCTTCATCAATTCTATGGTCATAGCTTCATGACATGCTGATATTAAACATCAAAGTTAGTTTTTCTTTGCCTAGTTTTTCCTCATAACTTTATTATGATATTAGCTACAAACAACCATTATTAGAATTGTCTATGCTTGTCTTCCTCAATAGATTATGAATCTCTGGAATTCAGGATAATGTCTTAGTTATTTCTGTGGCCTTCAAATGATTTAACATGGTGTTTTGAACAGAGTAGGCATTTGATATTTAGTAGAACCAACTTAATTCCTTAAATGGCCATTGTATTTAACAGCTACAAAGGTTGCTTTTTATGAACAGTCAATGTTAACTGCCTAAATCTTATTCTTCAATTAAGTAATAACAAATATGAGTTTTTTCATGGAGTACTATTCTGCATAATGACATTGTCTGCCCAGATTTAAAGCTTGTCATCTATTGATCATCTGCATTAATGCAGAGAGTGAATTATTTAAATAGCCTAATACTGGTGTAAAGCCATCTGAAAAAGAAGCAGCAAAACTATAAATTAAACTACGTCTAGAAACCCACCCTTCTCCAGCTTCCAAACCTGCCATAGCCACCACATGCTTTGGCCAAGGATTTTACCATATTTGTCTGTCTTCTTTCCAACTGCGTCAACTGTGCCATTTGGATGCAGACGGACAAATCCTCCAGTAAGCCTGTTGTAGAATTGAAGAGTGTTTCCTTTCATAAACTTCCAGCTTTCTGCAGCCCACTAAACAGAGAAACCAAACAAAGCAAACAAAAAACACCAACATGAGAAGATAAAGAGAAGAAATTACTAAGAAATACTCCTTAATAAACACTATATACTGTTTTGTTTTAATACATCAAATTGCTATTTAAACATTTGTACGAAATAATTTAAGCCCCAAAATAAATTCTTACTGTTTCTTTTCTATTAAATTCTAGCTTCTGCCCTGAGGATAGAAAAGAGAAGACCGTTAATTTCAACAGTGTCATACTTTCCTCATCAGAAAATTCATAAAACAGAATTTTCTAAGACAGGTGTGTACATGACACTCACTTGCAGAGATGATATTGTAGTCCCTGGCATACAGTTCTCTGACAATTTTACCATCATCTTCCCCTTGATCCAGCCATCTGCAGAAAGAAAAGTGTATTGATTAAATTCTGGCTTTATATTTACACTAACGACAGGCAATTATCTAGCCGTTAGAAATAATGGATAATGGGAATTGGAAAAAGCCATGGTTATCCAGTTGGTAAAAGCAGAGAAGTAGAAAATAAAAAAGGAAATGTAAAAAATGACTACTAGAGTGCAAGGGAGGTAGGAGAAGCTGCACTCAAGTAAGGATGAAACATGTTTTTCTCTAATCCACAGGTGAGTTACTCAATCAGTTAGCCTACCAAGGTCACAGATCTTACATCTACTAGACCAATTATTTTATCCTGTTCATTGGCCACTAACTACAATTCAAATTATAGTGAGTTTTTTCATAAATGGCTATTATTGGTTCCATGGGGAAAGAGGAAAGAGAGTGTTGAAAGAAAGAACAAATCTATCACCACTATTGAGAAAATAACTCAAAAATCAAGACCTAGTGACAGTGGGTCAGCAATGTCATTGTTGTATAAAAGCCACATGCAACATTTATTTTGTATATTTATTATTTGTGAACCTAATTTGGGACCTGGTCAAAGGGAATAAGTTTTCTTGACAGAAATTTTCATTCTCCTTACTGATATGTAAAGAGAAATCATATTTTAAAAATCTACCTTAATTTATCGAGAAAGACTTAAATTTGTTTCACCAGGAATGATCATAAACATAACGGATATCTGTCTAAATAGAAGAGGCAGCCTCTAAAATCAATGTTCACAAAAGTTTCCCAACAAAGGACAAATTACCAGGAATAAGTGAACAAGCTATCCAGGTCTCTAACGTACATGAACCTTGAGAAACTGAATAATATGAAATTACTTTGTTCAATGTAAAAGCACACCTACAAACCTGTGACAAAAGAAGGTGTATTCACGGTTTGTTGTGGGATCCTTGACTATAACATCTTCAAGAAACCATCCATTTCCTAAACACAAATTAGGGAAAGAAAAATGTAGTGTGAATATGTATGGTTTAGGTATTACTTGAAGTTTTGAGAAAGATGTTCTAGCTTCCAACATACATAAAGGCTTTGTACACCTTTAAGTTTTAATACTTCAATTAAAGCAAGATATAAGGGAAGCAAGCTGTAAGAAGCATTTAAACATATTTCTTATACATGCAACAAAAGCACAGCATATTTTAAGACTTTATATTTCATGATATCTACTTCAATATGATTTTCTAAACAGCTGAAAATAGAAAAATTCCGTAGTTGGTCTTGATTTCATAAACTGCACTTATAATCCTTGACCTAACATCTTCCAAAGAATACATCTGATAAGTTAACAATACTTTCTATTTCCAAAACATATACATAGAAAGTTATTAAAGCTCAAATTTGGATGAAGTCTACATAAACAAAATATATGTTTTGATAAGCTAAAAATGAAGTCATTCAGAAACTCTGTCCAAGCACACAGACTGAGCTGATACACATGAAGATAGTAACCTGTTTTTAAATGTTTAATTTTATATTAATTTGCAAAGTAGAATTGGTTAAAATACAACTTAAAATACAACTTAACTTATAGATAAGATGGAATATTTACCTCGTCACAGGGGTATAATCTACACAAAGAGCCAGCTCAAAATATATCCTCTTCTAATTAAAACTCCCTCAGTTGATGAGTTAATACTTAGCTATACGATAAAATTCTTTAACAAAGCATACAAGGGTCTTCATTGCCTGGTCTCTGCTTACTCTCCAACTTCAACCCTCATCTCATACTCCTATCACTGAGCTGTGCCAAACTCCTCATAGATCCCTAGTTCAGTGGTTCTCAGATTTTAGCTTGTATCAGAACCACAGCAGGGATTATGAAACACAGAGCACTGAACCCTTCACCGAGTTTCTGATTCAGTAGGCCTGGAATAGGCAATCTAAGGTGACTGACTGTCACAGTTTGCCACAAACAGAGGAGTTTTTCAGAAGGCAAGATTTTCAGTACTAATACCAGGGCAGGCCTAGGCAAACCAGAATGGTTTGTCATCCCAGAAAAGATTGCAAGAATTGAATTTTCAACAAGATCCCAAGCAATGCTGATGATCCAGGAACCACATTTTGAAAACCACTGCCACAGATGATTAACATTCATGATTCTATGCCTTTACATATGCTGTTCCCTATGCCTGGAATGTCATCCTCCAAAATGCTTTCTTTCATTTCATTTTTAAGTGCTACCAACAACAACAAAAAAAGAATTCCTTGACTCATTTAAGGAAAAATAAAATATTACCAGAACTCTGAAATGGATTGAGAACTACTGAAGAGTCTATAAAGAAAACTTTTGGAGGTAATGAGAATATTGATTTAAAAAATACTTTGTGGGGCTGGCTCCATGGCCAGGTGGTTAAGTTTGCGTGCTCCGCTGCAGGCGGCCCAGTGTTTCGTTGGTTCGAACCCTGGGCGCGGACATGGCACTGCTCATCAAGCCACACTGAGGCGGCGTCCCACATGCCACAACTAGAAGGACCCACAACGAAGAATATACAACTATGTACTGGGGTGCTTTGGAGAGAAAAAGGAAAAAAATAAAAAAATAAAATCTTTCAAAAAATACTTTGTAAGTCAATTGGTTTAATTAGTAATTCATTTAAAAGTATTTATATAAAAAATATATTATCTACATTTTTTAACTTGCTTTTCTCATAAGTTGGGAAGACCCAGGACTGGATTTAGAACTAGAAAAGATGAAGTTCTAAGGCAAAGCCAGGCTGTCCCTGGAGAAATTAGGCAGGAAGAACAGGAATTAAAGGGTTTATATAAAGTTCTATTGGAATGTGCTGATTTCTTACGAATACGTGTAATAAGTAGTTTGTATTATTCAAAATATTATTTGCCACTTAAAATAATTATTCATTTTCTATTGGACTGGATTTAAACAAATGGACAAAAAAGGTATTGAAACCATGTATTATTCCAGCGTCTGCCAAAAAAAAAAGAAATCAGTTAGCTTGGTCTATACATTTTCAATCTTTTTTTATGCCTATACATAGAATGCCCAAATGTATTCAAATCTGGGCCCTATTGTGTAAAGAGTTGGTGTCCTGCTGTAGTAAAGACAAGGCTATACACTCACTACACTGTTTCCTCTTTCCGCTTACACAAGAAGACTGCATTTCTCAGCTTCTCCTGAAATTAAGCAGAGGGACATATGACTCATTTCTTGCCAATGGAACGTAAACAAAAATGATATAAGTCACTTGCAGGCCCAGCCTTTAAACACGTCCCCCACAATCCTCTAGCCAACTCCACTTTCTGTGGTGACCTTGGAAGCTAGCATGGCCACACACTGGACAGGGCCTGCCTCTTGATTCACTGCTTGAAGAATAGCTGCCTGGAAGACTTTTCAACTCACATCAGACTATTGTGTGAAAAACAAATAAATGTGCTGTGTAAAGCCCTTGGATTGGGGGCTAGTTTGTGAGTATTAGTGAGTACAGAAGCTAGTAAGTATTAATTACCCAAATCATACATGTGCTTTGTTCATGAGCATTTCCCCATTTTTCTTAAAGATTCTTTGACAACATGATTTTTAAAGTCGCATGATATTTCAGTGTATGGATGTACCATATAAATATATTTCCTATTGCAAGATATAGAATTTTGCTATTATATATAATATAGTCGCAATTTTGAGCATATTATTTATATTTCTCAATATTTTTGGATAGCTTTCTAGAAATGGATTACTGAGTCAAATTAAGTATTATTGTCAAACAATATTTAGTAACATTAGTCATGGAATACTGCATTATTTGTCCATAATTCTTTCTCCCCTACCCTTACCCCAATGACTTTGGTCTTGGCCATTAGATTTGATCTAGCCAGTGAAACGTGGATAAAAATGACCACAAGCCTTGTTCTAACTAAGGTCTTTGTCCATGAGAAGAGCATGCCTCAGGTAGCATTGCTCATTCTGGATAGAGTGGTGTAGACATGACGCCACATCAGGGCCAGGAACCCAGCAAAGTCCAGCCAAGAATAGTCAAGTTAGGCCAAGATCAGCCAAAAGTTGATGTAGACATGAAATAAATATTGTAATTCACTGAGATTTAGAGGTTCTTTTCTATATATTATAGTAGCCTTGTGAATTTTCTAATCAAAACTTGATAAGAAGAAAACAATTTTAAATACTGTATTTCTTTGAATAATACTAAAGATTTACTTTTCTGGCCATTTTTCCCAAGTTCTTTATATGTCAACTGATTTTTTTAATATATCCTTCACATTTTGGATATAATATTATGAGACTCTGAGTCCTATTTAATCTTCTTTTTAGAGGAAGATGTTTTAGATGGAGCATAAGCTGTGTGTGTGTGTACACAAGCAACTTCTGACACCACCCAGGCAGAAGCGGGGCACTCACTCACTGCAGATAGCTGAGTGGGAGTTCACCTCATCCTCTTGCTCACTGATACCTTCCTCACAAAAGTAAGGTATTTACAGTGCCTGACTGTCTCAGAGCAAGGGAATCAACTCCCTAGTGTGCCCGTCTGCTTCCAGAGATGGGGCAGGCAGGGACTGAATCTCACCCCTTTCTGTTGTAGGGTGAGGGCAGAAGCTCAGCTCCCTACTAGGCCCTGTCACAAAGGGGAGGGGAGTAAGGCTATAGAGTGCCAACTAGCCTCACCTCCTCTACTTCACTCAGCCTGGTTGATGCTGGGTAGGAGTAGAAGCTCAGATTTCCCTTGGGCCTCACTGATGACCAAGGCACAGAGGAAGTATAACCTCAACTACTCCACCTTGTCCCACCTCGTTCCACCTTCTGATGCTAAGTAGGGGTGGACACTCAGCCTCCAATGGGACTCACTGACACCAGGGATGGCGAAATAGTGGAGTGCTGACTAGTCACAGCTTGCATTGCTCTATTCATTCTCCTTGTTGCCAGCTGATAACAGGTGCTCAGCTGCTCACTGAGTCCTGCTGACATGGGTGTGGTGAAGTGAAGCCTAGAGCATCTTTGCCTTTTCCAGCTTCTAATGGCTTGTGGTCCTTTCTTCTTCAAAGCCAGGAGATAGCACCTTTAAATCTCTCACCTCTGTTTCCATTGCCATATTCTCTTCTCTGACTTTGACTCTCTTACCTCCCTCTTATAATGATCCTTGTGATTACCTTGAGCCTACCTAGATAACCTAGGATAATCTCCTCATCTCAAGATCCTTAACTTAATGACAGCTACAAAGTCAATTTTTCCATGTAAGATAACATTCACAGTTCCAGAGATCAGTACATGAATATCTTTTGGGGGCCATTTTCCAGCCTACCACATAGGAAAATTTCAACTTGATAAAGTTGAAATTACAAAAAACCTACAGCTAATTTTATACTTAACAGTGAAAAACTGTACACTTTCCACTATAATAAGAAACAATGCAAATATTTCCCCCTCACCATTCTTATTCAATATAGTACAGTCATGCATTGCTTAATGATGAGGACACGTTATGAGAAATGCATCATTAGGCAATTCTGTCCTTGTGTGAACATCAGCAGGTGTACTAAAGGGGAACAAAATCTGCCACCCCAAAATGTGTCTCTTTAAGATAAGAATTATTTTAGGCTGATTATTTTTAAGAAAGAAAAGAGTCAGAAAGTTTTCCTTGTTACCTCCCCATTAACTGCCTAAAAGAATTCAGATTAAAAAAAAAAACTAGTCTCAGGAAGCAAGCTATCACCTTATTATAACATGAATGAGGTGGTAGACAGGGAGGAACCAAGAAAAGCCTGTTTGTTGGGCTCCCCTCTGTGTTCTTTGTTTCCAGGTGGCCAAACACACACTTGTTTTCCATAAGTTTGCTCCTTTTCACTTACCTGTGAATTGCCTTCCTTCCCTTGGAAGTCTTTGACTTTCCCCACTCCCAACATCTCCTTTGTCTTTAGCTAAGACTGGTATTTAAGGTGAGGGCTTTGGCCATTTTGGT